TAAAGAATTATCGTTGGACATACATAAAAAAAAATATTATGACGAATTGAGAACCTCCTTCTTTTTTGAAGTCAGTTAAAAATACGTTAAACGGCGTTTACCAGGGTTGGCTTTGATTTTAATTTATTATTTATATAATTGGCATATGATTTTTATTTTATGTAAGAGTATTAAATTAGGTAACGCAAACTATAGATTGCATATTGAAATATAGTGTTGTTCTTATGTTAACTATACAGTATTATGGTACATTACTTATACGGGAGTGGATCATAAAGTGTAACTTATAAAGTATCTGTTAAAAAATGCTTTTCAAATTTCATTTTCAATTACAAAAAATAAAAATTATTTCAAAAACATTACAATATTATGCTTTATAAAAGTCGGCGTAATACTTTTTATTAAAAGCGATCCGCATTTTTTTTGGTTCTTTTATTTTTATTGCTTTCTACGCCTATTACAAAGGGCTGCAACTCGAAATGTGACGTTTTAACAGAAACATTTCACACAATTATATAAAGCAAATATGGCTCAAGTCAAAATATGACACTTTTGATGGACGGACAATTCGAGAAATTTTAAAAACAAATGTGTGACACTTTTCAGATGAATAGTCAAATCGCATGTCATGCGCCCATAAAAATTTTTGGTGAAAAAGCACTTTAACAGAAAAATTACATATTTTCCGATACCATCCGATAGAGAAATTTTCAAAACGCATTTATTTTCATAAATATCTAAAAAAAAGCCAAAAATGTTTACGTTTTTTTTATTTCTACTCCCCCTATCATGTGATATATCAATCGACGCGTCTCTTCTAGCCAGATGATTCTTTTGAATGTCTTTTTGCTCTGCCTCCCCTTTTAAGCAAACTTTTTGCCCCAGTTTTCCTGGGAAATGTGTCTAGAGTTAGCGGGAAAATTGCGATGCCAGATTTTGAGGAACGTCGAAAAGTACACATAAATTCTTATATTATTTATTTAAAACATTTATTCACCTGTTTTCTTAGTTTTTCGGAAAACAACTTTGGGAAAGTCGAAAAATTCGGTAAATAAAAAATTATATTTTTTTTATTTTCTCCAAACTACAGGAAATTTCCAGAAACGTTAAAATACGCCGTCGAAAAACAAAAATAAGGTGGTTTAGCCGGAAAATTGATGAACAAATTTCTTTACCGTAGTTAAATTGCAGATTTTCCAATACTCTTCGGTAGGGAGATTTTAAAAACACATTTGCCTTGAATTTTTTATAAATTTCTGAAAACGCGAAAATTTTACGGTTTTTTGTATTTCCCCCACCCTCTGTCATAAAAACCCTGACATGTGATACGTCAATCTTAAGGTATTTTTGGATAAATCCGTTGTCGAAAAAAAATTTGGTCTGACCGGAAAATTGGTGGAAAACCACTTTCCTGAAGAAAAATTAAAATTTTCCAACATTATTCGACAAAGAAACAATGTTTCTGTAGTAGTGAAATTCGGTAGTTCGGGCCCATTGAACCCATCGATTTTCATAACAGACGGACGAAGAACACGTATTTAGGTTTTTATTTTATTTTTATCAGGTTTGCTTATACAAAACAAAAACTGATTGTTTTTGAGTTGTGTCACTTTTGAAGAGGAGGTGAAATATGCAGAATTACAATGAGCTATTATAGTCGCCGTATTTTTTAAATAATCCATAGGAAAGTTACAAAGTTCATTAAAATTTTGAGGTTCAGATATAAGAATAATTATTAAAATGTAATGTCACCTATGTCTTGCAACGTGTATCAATAAAATTGAACTTAGATTTTTTCACATATCCATTTTCTACATTTTGTGATATTGCTAATATTTGTGTGTTACAGAAGATCCATAGCTCAAACGGTTGCCGATATTTTTAACAAAAGTTCTTAGTTTTCTTAGATGCTTCCGAACTTGGCAATGACCAGTCAGAATGCCTGTGATCAGGTGCAGATACTTTCCAGTCACAGTCGAGTATTTGTTTGCTGCAGTGTTGTCAGGGTAACTTAAAAGCTCCCTTGTAACTCTGCTGCTTCTTGTTTCATCCCATCTTTCCTTGAATTTCACAAGGGAATGTTCTTTAATTAGGTTTGTCACCTGTTGTCAGTCCAATAAAAGGGTCAAAGTCCATAAAGTATTTGATTGGCTGCCTTCTTGGATAGTGAATCACCGGGACGGTTACCTTTCGATGTGGCGTGACCTTTGATCCATCTTAAGGTGACCACATTGTTGATGGATACTTCGTCTAAAGCTTCATGGCATTCTATTACTAACCCTGTGTAAATTCGTTCTGACCAGGGCAAATAGTGCTTGTCTGCTATCTGTATAGATGAGCACATTCCTTTCAGTAATATTGTTTCTGGTAACTTGTTTGTTACTAGAATCCCCGTTTGCTCGGTTTGAACTATACTAGCACTATTGCTCACTTTTTATGTTTAGGTTTAAGGATCTGGAATATATTCCACATCCTAAGCCTTGTTTTGTTTTAGAACCGTCGGTGTAGATATGAATCGTACCTGCCACTTCCGGTTCTTCTATTTGTTCTATTATAACTTTATATGGCTTATGGAAGATATATCTTGGTGAGCGCCTCCTGCCAAAAGGGACATCTCGTCTCACCAGATCCTACGTCAGGTTCTATTCCAACCGTGTGGAGTCGTGTCATTGTCATCAGAACAACCTCCTTGATGTAAATATTAAGGGGAGTGAGGCTAAGAATGTCTTCCATTGATCTGGTTGATGTAATTTTCATGGCTTCTGTTATGTTGAGACATGCTGTTGTTTGAATTGGTTCTAGTTTGCAAATAGCTGTCAATTTTTGGGTTTTTCAGTACCGTAAACTGTACTGTATGTTAGTATAGGTCTTATGATGAACGTGTAAGTCCATGCGCTCCACGGTTCGGCAGCATTGTTCATAAGAAATGTATGCGTAATTTGCTGTTTTTTATATGTGAGTTCCGTGTTAACTTGTTGTCAAAGGTGATACATAGGTAATTCGCCTCTGTAGAGAAATAAAATTAGTATTTGTATTTTATCTTTAATAAAATCTAAGTATTTTTTAAACAAATGTAATTTTACTTTCCGATTCTAACACAATAAAATAAAACAACCGTTTAAGAAAATTTCGACAAATCCTCTGTATTTTATTGTAATGATGTTTCAACTAGTGTTGGTAAACATATGTATATCACATCAGTAAGAAGATACATCATGATAGCAGCTAAAAGGTGTTCGTCCGTTTTCATTTTAGTTTTACCCTTCCCTAAAACGAGTTGAAATAGATGAATAAAAAATAAACATACGAAACCTAAAAAAGTGAATGAAAATATATACCGAAAATAAGCGCTACCAGTTCTCCAATAATATATTTGAGCGATTAGGAAAAATATTCCTTCGAATCCTAGTAAAGTCATAATTAGAAGGTTACTCTCAGTTAAATCACAATAATTTATCCACGATAAAAGAACAACTGCGAAAAATATAATTACTGTTATACCCAAGCATATTAATAACACTTTCGTATCGTGAGTAACACCTAAAGATCCTATATAATAACTTGAAGATAATGTATACGTAGTTAGAGCAATGTAGTTGTAAGGATTTCGTTTTCTAAAACCATCGAAAAAAACGAGTAGTATAAATGAAATCGCTTCCGCGGCAGCAACATAATAAAATACAGAAAGTTCCTTTTTTATAAATTCTCCTAAATAAGAGATGCGAGCACAAGCGACAATCACCGAGACTGTTAACAATATTTGTAAAGCAAGAACGATCATAGATTTCGTAATAAGAGTTCGTCTGCTGATTCCTCTAGAAAATATGGCTTGAGCAATTCTTTCTGATTCGTCATAAAATTTATCGATGAAGTTTCGTATTTGGTAAATGAGTATTTTGGTCCGGGGTATCGATTTGGATTCAAAGCTTAAACAATATGGTACTGGCGGACACTGATCGTCGAAATTAAAGATTTTTCCACTTTTACTAAAAATAATTCCCGGTCCTGAACGTTTTTCTTGTTTAAGTATTTGTACAGAGAGAGGATTTACGTCAGTGTCCCGTATATTTTTTAAAGGTATTAATATTTTTGTACTCCCATCCTCAACGGAATACACTTTAGGTTCTTCAGGAACTAAATTTTCTAATATATTTTGAACATAATCTTGTAGATCCTCTTCCGCCCTAATTCCCGTAAAGGATATTTCATCACTTGGTTTTTGAACGTCATTGTTAAGATCTGACCGAGCCATGTTTATAAAGAAAATTATGATTCGGTTAATTGAAATTTTTTAATATCTAATAAATGGTCATCTTTGTGACAAGATACGTAGTGTCTGAAATGTCAAACTGAAGTATGTAAGTGACAGTGTAAAGGCAAAGAGTAAAGCCCGCTACTCACTATTCGTTGATGCGTCGATATGCACGAATCTTTGATTAGTGTGGATGATGCACGATGCAGTGCGCCAATGCGGTGTGCCGCGGTTCCGAGGATGTCGGTTTTTGGACGAACCATCAAAGAAAATGATTCACAATTGCATAAATCGGTGAATCGACGAATCGCCTGTTGTTGCTGATTTGTCGTACCGGTGCGCCGATACCACACAAATGCTCAACAATTCTTCTTTAGTAGTTTAATTTAAAATACAAGATGAAGTGGACGGATGAAATCGTTATGGCTTTTATGAAAAATATTCAATGTCACCGGTATTTGTCGAATCCTTGTGATAGTAACAAGAAAAATCTGATGTGTCCAACACATGACTTTCCTATCTAGTTATTATAGGCTTTTTCCGGTTATTTTGTACAACCTATTGCAGCATCTCTATAAATGTTTAGAGGATGAACTAAATATATACATTGTCCACATACATCTACCTCGAAACATTTTTCTATAGATATTCATTGAAAACGAAAATACTGAAAAATTTAAATTTAGCACTTTTCCATTACGGTCCATTTTAGAAAAATCATGTATAAACAAAAATTATAGAGATCGATATCGCAAACAACTTTTAGTTCAACAATTTTCATAAAAATCAGAATTTTGCACATTTTGTCAAATTTCTCGAATACGGATCATTTCAGAAAATTTTGACATAAAGCAAAAATTATAGATAATAATATTAGAAGTAACTTTTATTTGAACAATTTTCTTCTCCAAACATAAATAACAGATATATTCCATAAAATATAAAAACGGCCTCCCATAAAGTACCCCCCCAGATGTTCCGACTTTGTCCAAAATCTAATCATTTCACGTCAGGCCGAAATAAACCTTAAGTTTAAAATAGCTACAAGGCTACAGCTATGGACTTTCATATTAAAAAAATAAAAAAAAAAAGAGACGTCGTTTTATACATATTGAAATTATAGAAGAAAAGTAGCCTGCAGTCAAAGTCTGGGACAGGCACAGATGACGTACATATTTCTTCATAGCCTCCCTATTTTGATCAGGATGCGTTTTTACATGGAATATACAGCAACATGAAGAAGTATTTCTTCCTAATTCATTTTGCTCGACTGAAAATAGCTCTACGCCCTGCACTGCAACGGCATCAACGAATTGCACTGCGTCGCATCGCATCACACACTATGAGTGGGGGGGGAGGGGGGGCTGATGCTATAATTCGTCCAATTCACGAATGTAACCATAGGAATAGTATAGAAAGCCAATTCCATATATCAAAAAGGAAACCATACGGAGAAAATAGTGTGTCGGAGCTCATGCGTATAACGGTGCTGGCTCGAACAGGACCGGTGCAAGTTTTTTATTAATCGAACAAATAGTTCACACGACGTTTCAGTCATACATTTTTAGAGATGATTCTATATTAAAAAGTAAAAAATTCAAGTAAGTTAAATATGGTTCTGAAAGTCATTATTAAGAAAGATATGGCACAAAATATGAATTAGTTAATTTTCGGCAATCATTAGTGCTGTAGTCACGAGATTTTGCTTGTGATTTGACATCTTATTTGATTTAGTATCATTTGCTACAAGTAAATTTAATCTGGAGAGTGCAAAATAGGAGACAGTTGCGTTTCGCCCAGGGATATTATGTTCGACATTTTTTTATATTTTGTCAGCCGAGACTATGAGTCGTTACTTACAATTAGACAGAAAACCTTTCATGTTACCATTTTTAATATAAATTATCCAAAGATGTCTGCATCTCTCAAGATTCAAAATTAAAAAATACTACTACATTCACTTGATACTTAGTACATATTTTATTTTAATTTTGAACTCTTTTAAAAGGGTCTTTCGGTTCCATAATAAAAGTTAGTCGCTGCCGAGATCGCTGCTTATTAGAAACATTCTATATAGTCTAAACCAATTTATGGATTGTTTTCGATCAATTTATTACAAAGATTTAAAGTTTTTAGTCGATGATAACATTCCACATCAGCACATTGCAAACCTATTTTATAGATAATAAGAATAAACTTGTAAATCATTAATTTGATAGTTATCTCACTTATAATGATTTTTTTGTTCATATGACTTTTTTTGATTTCTAAATTTTGTCCTACAATACGAAGCGTTTTGTATCTAACACTTTTTTTATTGAACGATGAATGTTGACAGGCGTGTACCTTTTTCGGAACAAGAGGCGCTTTAACGACGAAAATGATTTTCGAACTATCCAGTTAGTTTTTGGAAAACTAGAAAAAGTTTGAAGAAAGTCGTCAATAACACTAGTCGTTAATGTGTTTGATTTTGATCAGCTTTCTTTCTAAATTGCAGAGAATTCTCATCCTCCGATTCAAACTCGAGATTCTCGATATTTCCACAGTTTATTTGTAATACTTTCTAAACTGGCTTTATCTATCATTTTATATACTTTATAATATTAGTTCACGCCCTACTTGGCACTTTATTAACAATTTTTTTAACGTACTTCAAAATAGGAGGATATTCTCAATTCGTTGAAATATTTTTTTATGTTAAGCGATAATTATTTACCACGTTGCCCGATTTCTATGATTCTCTTTTTGTTAGAAAAGGAATAGTTCTATATATATTTAATCAAGATCTAAAGATGAGATCCATGAGAAATTCATTAATATCTTCATTTTTAAAGTAGGTTTTTTAAATTTCTTTAAACCGTACTGGTTCGCACGCGATAAAGAATGAAGAAATGTAAATAATTGTTGTGCCAGCCAAAAAGCAAAGAGGAAGTAACGATTAAAATATCGAGTGACGGAAGAGTTTCTAAGTTCGTTGAGATCGGGTTTATGTTTTAAAATGCCTTGAAACCCGCATTTGAAAGTATACCATGCCAACTCCGCCAGTGACGTCACAAATGTTAAGTAAAGGTACAATTTAATAGGGTTAATTTTCAGTTTCTACATTTGAAAATATACCCGACGCCAACTCGGCCAGTGATGTCATAAATGTTAGGTAAAGATACAATTTAATAGGGTTTGTTTTAAAATTCTTTATTTTAAATTATACCCGACTGAAACATGGTCTCTGACGTCATGAGCGTTATGTACAGGTATATATTCCAAATAAGCAACATTTCATGTTTCATCGGTATCAGGAATAATAGAAGTGGCATCTCATTTAAAATAAAACGGAAATAACAGAACTGTCAGAATATTTTAGATTGAAAGATCATAGCCTGTTTACTATTTTTAACAACTTTTAACAAAAAAACCATTCATTGTCTGGCAGATACCGATAATGTCTCCCCGTCGCTGGGCAGCTCTCTATTTACATAAATCTTGTAATAAATATAACAGCTGCTAAATACATTGATTACATTTTCATTAGCCAATGTAAAAATGTCTTTTATTGTATCTAGGATTTAACTTAACACTAAACAAAACTAAAAATAAAATGCCACTTACACCGTGTAATTAAATAATAAACTACAAATTCAAGCCAAAATATCACAAACGGTCCTGTAAGGTCAGCGTTATATAGCCTTGAAACACCGGATTTTAGTGGTATTGCTAGGTCAATACAATATTGAATTTGTAGGTGAATCGCTTGTTGAACATTAATACCGTATTTGTATATACACAAATCGCCAAAATTCTTGGACCCCCTTATGTTTGTCAAAATGAGACACTATTATTAGCCAAGAAGTGTATTACATAGTACTTTTAATTTGGTTATGTATCCAATACAAATTGGCTGAATTAAATTTTAACTGAACGTGCGATGAGGCCTAGCATTGTCATCCAAGAAAATAAAATTAGCTCCAATTTGATTTCGGAGAGCATAAATAATGGGTTCAATAATGGTTATGTGTCTGGAATAAGAATAAGCTGCGTACGACGACCATGCATTATGCCCCCTCAAAATATTACTGTTCCTCTTTGGCATGGAATGACTTCTTTGGCAAAAGATACTCTTTCTGGTCGCCCTGGCCCTCTCCAAACTCTGTGTCGCCGACTATTACTAATTAAACCCTATCTGGTTTCGTCCGAAAAAAGATCATTTCGCCACTGAGCTAAAAGCCAATCTTTGTGTTCCTGCGCCAACTGTAGACGAGCAGCTATAGGTGTAGGAAGTAACCTGAGTACTCTTAATGGTCTCCTAGATCGTAAATTGGCTCCAGCAAGTCTCCGCCGTATTGTGGTACTGAAAATGAATCGACCATAATACGTTCTTCTAAAATGTGTTCGGACAGCTGAGACTGTTACGGTTCGATTCCGACATACATAACCTGCTACATACCGATCTTCTATTGGATTAGTTACCTTAGGACAAACAGTCCCACGTCTCCAGTCAACGCTGTTAGTTTCCTGGTACAAACGCACTATTCGGATAACTGAATCCCTAGTCTATCTGCGATTCGATGATCCGGCAGACCCTCATCATGCAAAGCCACTATTCTTGCTCTATTGAACACTGAAATTATATTGCCAGGCATAGTTGCAAAGAAAAAGTCAACAATCACTTAAACACGCAAAATCGATATGAATCACTTTTTAAACATTGGTACCTAAAATTGTGGGAAATTGTTTTTGTAAACATTTTTAGATGCGTATCAACGGTGAAAAAAATAAAGATTAAATGTATAAAAAAGTAGCCATGATAAATATTTCATTTTAATATTTACGAGGGGGTCCAAGAATTTTGGCGATGTGTGTATTTTTGGGAATGTAATTACACATAAATATTATTAGTTGATTATTTAAATCTTTATAAGTTATTTTGTGGCGATATTTCGAAGATATAAACTGTTTAAATCATATAATTTAAAAATAAATTAAGTTGAAATTCTTTTGTGTTAGGTATGTTTAATATACTTGGCAACACTACGGGGACAAGTAATGCATACTGCGCATGCTTCTAGACACACTATTTTGCGATTTCAGGCGCAGAGACGCGTTTTTATGCACAGTAGGTTTCAATTTCTGCTTAAATGTTATATTTATATTGGTCTTCTATATTATTTCTATGAATGTAACGCGCATTACGCACTGCATCGTCACACCAAATCGTTCTTAATGGCGGTGGCCCGTGACCACTTATTAACTATTCGATTATTTTTGCTTAATCGAATGATAAAATTAATATGAGCATTTTTTATTTCCTCATAAAAGCACAGTGGAGATAAAATAATAAAAAACATTTATTAACTTTAGATTCTCAACACTTGATGGATATATTGGTCGATTGGAATTATGTCACTAACTTTTATTGAGAGAAGATTCGACTGTCTGTGTAGTTAGAAGCAACAATTACCGGCTGTTGTAAAGTAATACTTTGTGTGCTCTATAATAGAGAGTTATTGCAAGTTCACTTAAGGTCAGTCACTATTAGTGCCGCTCTTATTTTGACATCTGAGCATGCGCAGATCACTAACTTTAATAGAGATTGTGCCTGTCCTTAATAGAGAGATATTGCAAATTTCTATAAAGCCAGCCACTAATAGTGACATCGTAATTAGAGTCAAATAAATTCTATAATAGGACCTAATATTAAAGAGGCATTAGAAATTATAATTTTAGAAGGTTTAAATGACGAGCGCATCCGAAGGCTATAAAGTCGCCACTACCTGCTGCCCTTAAACATCCACAATTAAGGACAGGCACAATCCTTAATAAAGTCAGTTTTAACATAAACATCTACGCATGCTCAGATGTCAAAATAAGAGCGGCACTAATAGTGACTGACCTTAAGTGAACTTGCAATAACTCTCTAATATGACACAAAGGATGCTTAATATAATATGTATCTAGGTGATAGTTGGGTAGAGTGATTCGATTTCAAATTCTATTGGTTAGACGTAGCATCAGTTAAGTTGACTTTGAAAGCCTTTAAATTTTTTTTTGCAATGAGTGTAAGCGAAAAAAATTGTGTCAAAAAAAAGATAGTAATATTTTTTCTTGCCTGTTGTTGCTTTACGCTTTATCGTATGAATAAATATTTTTAGTTTGTATACGACATTGGCGTAACGTTCGTTGGATTTTAAAACACACTTTCAAGACTGGTTAATGATTTTTTATAGACTATTTACTTAACATGGCTGACTATTATAGAAATAGTGTTTGAATACTAGCGAATCCCCTTTTGCATTGTAATCATTAATTATTGTAGACTGTGTTTGTGACATTTTGTCGTTTTCTATAAACCTGCGACTATAAAGATTTTTAATAAATGCTATAATATGAAGTTTATATAGTGTGCCTCACTTAAAGATGTAGAGTATGTGGATCTCGATTATACCAGGTGAATATTTTTTTACAGGGACAGTATTGCTATCTTCTAAACCTAAATCATAACTTTGTATATAGTGAGTCAATAAGTCAGTCCTACATTGCTATTCAACTTTTCAGTTGATACAAGATTTTACCTCGTAATTTGGGGTGTGAATAATGCATCAAAATTTCTATTTTGTTATGTAATTAAAATCAAATCTTACAAATTTTTTCTAATAAATAACATTAGTACTTCCGGATAATAAAAGCAACATTAAATAATTACTATTTTTTTCTTTTTTTAGTTGAAGATAAGAAAGAAAAGACAAGAAAAAACATTTTGGAAGCTAAAGAGAAAATAAGGACTGAAATTGCAAATTTGAAAAACAAATTGAAACTAGCAAAGGAGACGATATCTTCATTCAAAGAAGAAATTGCAAAGTCTCAGGAAAATCAATTTCTGTTGTAGATGTAGGTTTTTTAATGAATTGTATGTATAGATTTTTTATTTTTTAATAAAAATTAATTTGGTTTACAGTAAGACCTAATATCTTAGACCACAAATGTTCCTAGAAAAACATGCAAATAGCATGATAGTATCTATTATTTTTAAGATAATCATATTGTCTCCATTTACTCTTATTAGACCTACTTTAACAATAAGAAATTTTTATATTGAGCGCAAGAGAAATTGCTGTCTGTAAAACACTTGCAAAAAGTTCACCACCAAATGTACAAGAATATACCATTTAATAATTCAATACATCATTGATTATTCCTGCATATTAACACAACATTTGGGTGATTTTTAAACTGATTGGCAGCATTCATTTTATCAATTTTTTTTCGCAGAATTGTAGATGCCTGTCACTATTTTCTGCAATAATTGCAACAGCAGATTGAAAGGACGTTAGTGGGCAGAGGTGCCATATGAATTTTATTTGCAATCTCTTAGGATTTTCCGAGGCGAATATTAAAACATTCAAATTAAAAATTAAAGTACATTTAGATGTTCCCTCAATGTTCTTATTTGGGACCTCTGTTGTAATTACTGTATATCAATGATATTGATGGGATTTTCAGTATTTAATTTTTGTCTGAGTATCAAAATTGCTACTCAAGTAATCAAGAAAAGGAAACATTTGGAACGATAGTGTAATAAATCAGTTTCAACAAAAAAATCTTATATAAGACTATATTCAATATAATACATTTTCAAAAAAAATTGTAATTAAAATTATAAACGATTAAATTACATAAATATTTTTTAAACTTAACCAACAGAAGAAGTAATGAGTTCTGCTACACTATCGTCAGGTGACCTCACAGTTAATTGCATGGTAACGCCATCTGCTAATGCAAGTTTTGCTCTAACCAAAATTTCGATACCTCCTCTGAATACACCTAGAATAATAAGCCAGATTTAATGTATATTATGGATAAGTAAGTTGCTACAAGAAATTTATAATCACTGCCCTTGATGAAATTTTGGTGACACAATAGAACATGTTTTATTTTTGTGTAGTTTTCATGTAAGTTTGAGAAAATTTTATGGCAGTTTTATCAATATAGGGGAAACCCCCATTAGAATAAAAAATACATACAAATTATTTAAAAGATAATACATTAATTTGCAACTTTCATTTTAAAAACAAACTCTAACACTTAAGAATGACAAGTATTAAGTATTTTTGTTATTATTATAAAATAATAAATATCAATAAAAATGAGTGTTCGATTGCCGTCTGAAGATCGTCAACAGTAGATGAGGAGCCAACGACTAGGAGAGTGTTTTAGTTTATCAGTTCAGAGCGGACTGTTAACTGAAAAATATGCATGGCTCATATCCCTACGAAAACCTGCTCCTGGCCTATAATCTGGTCAAAGGAGGTTTCGAGGACCCAGTCCTTAACGCATATTGATCACGCAGTTTAATTCCTGCATCTTTTCGGGGCGTCAACTATAGGAGTAAATGAAAATATTCAAAATATCAAGAGATTTTCGAGATAACAACCTGGAAAAAAGTTGGGAGTTGCCTGAGAAAATTTTTATTTATTAAATAAATAACAAGAGCCTATGTCTTATGTTATCAAAATAAACATTTTAGGTTAGGGTTTACTAACAAACGTCAAAATATTCTGGTTGAGAGCATTATTTATAGTTGCAATTTATCCTTACAAACTTGCACCATGTAAAATGAGGCATCTAGATGCATATTATGCATTTGTTTTGTAAAAGTAGCAAAATTGCATACCTTAAAACTTGAGATAAAATTGTGTTGTGAAAAACAACTGTTTAATAGAGTTTGAATTAGTCAATAAAACTATAATCAATATAACAAGAATTATAAAAGAGTTTTAAAAATTTAAAATGTCCTTGTAGTCCTCAGTAAGCTCACTCTTTCGCACTCTTACTCCTATTGGATGCTGGAGTATGAGTGAGTGGTCGATTTTTTTAGCATAAACATAAAGCCAGCTCAAGACCCACTGTGCGAAAATCCATGTGAAGACCCGCAAACGCGAGTCTAAATTCTACACCCGTTCATGCTTGTTCCCCAATCAGAGATAGTTTTTGGTACCCATTGCAGGACTTGTTTGGCATGAAACTCGGCAAATCTAACAAGGCGAACATGGAGTATCTAACATAGAGTCTTGCAATACTAAAAGTTGTTTAGTATTGCAACACAAACACAAGGGGAATGAAAAATTACCCTAGTGGTAGTTTGCATTCGACAAGTATTTCAATAAACTTTGTAATGACTGTAAAAAAAAATTAATCAAATAGGTATTATAATAAACAGTGTAAAAGTAATGAATTATAGATCACAATATTGACATCTGACACATCAATCTCCACCGGCCAACTTGGGGAAGAGTGAACTAATTTCAAATCTATTATAAACTGAACACAAAAGAATACAGTGAGTACAGTGATCAACAAGCCAAACTTAGCTAAACAGTTCGCGACTGAGAAATGCAAACACTATCCAAATTAGTTCATCATAGCAGTACCTAGTAGATCTGTTATTTGAACAGTAAAACTACTGTTTATGTCACATTTCTCTACTGTTTTGAGTTAAAAGTCTACTATTTTCATTGAATATAAATAAAAATTAATATATTTACCCAATTATTACCGAATAGTACAAATTCATTCAGTATTAAATGTATTTTTTCATGATTAAAAAAGGAATCGAGGACGCTAATACGAATGTGAATGTTAAATTTTGCTGAATGAAATGAAGATATTACTCAAAAAATACTTGCACATACCTGAAAGTAACAATGTATGAGTACTTTTTCCTTCGGGAACCTGATCAGTTCGTTCAGCAGCTGCCAACCCAAGAAATTGTATAATATTCTTTACAGCCTCATCTAAAGTGTTCATTGAACTGAGAGAATAGGTATCTTCTTTTTCTACTGAGCCTTCTGCTGCCTTGTCCCAGGCCGCAGCCCAATTGACTTTGCCTACCCTTTGGATTTGATCCCCAAGAGTTACTTCAAGATCTTCAAGCATGTACTCTTCTTCGTAACCTGATGAAAATTAAAGTAAGATAATACTGTATTTGAACAAGATGATACTGATGTACTTACCATCTTCACAGTCTGGTATTCCAGTGGTAGGATCACAATCCTTGACAACAAATTTAAGAACAGCTCCAAAGGTTCCCACACAACTTGTTAGATCATCATCAGGGAATTTCAGTATCACATATGTCGTCCCCGTTTGGTTGTAATGCAACTGTTCGCAGGGTATTTCAGCCAAAATTTCAAAGTTTTCATTAGGGTCCAAATCGACCCTAACATTTTCCAAGAGTTGATCAGCAAGAGTGTTCAAACAATCGAATTGTAAAACGATATGGTGAGCAAAACAGTGTTTGATACAACGTACAAAATACTCAGTTTCAGATTCAGTAAGTTCAACGACTTCTGAGCTTCTGAAAAGAGGTCCAAGTTGTTGGATGCCTGGGATGGCAGCCAGTTTTTCGGCGAAGTTCTCTTCTCTGGAAACCGGCGGCGGGCGGACTGGGCCTTGAGATATGAGCATACCTTCGGTTTTGTGCTTCTTCTCACGTTCTTCCGAGGTTGGAACGGCTGCTAGTGGAACGGATTTTATGTCAAAAGGTTGGATTGTTTGGTTTTGAGTGTATTCTTTGAGTGAGCGTTCCAAAGATGGAATGGATACCTAGAAATGTGTCATGATTATTTTTCGTTGCACGATTTTCTTTGCAGAATTAAAATTTAAACATTTAGTATAACCCACTGTTGAAAACAACATATTGTTGGTAATACTACAAGACGTGGTATATCAAAAAAAAATATCAAAAATTCATTTTATTGTTTGAAAGTATGCAACTAACAGTGCTTCATGCATTGCAATATGTATTATGTATATATTCTTACTAGCATTTTATAAAATTAGTTTTTCGTGACACAGCCTGTATTGCAGTATCCTTTTTTTATCTATTTGTCAATAATATATTTAATATAATTAATTCAGTTTCAGAAGTAGAAATATACATTTTTTAAATAGACATTTAACATTCGACTTAAATGTATTAAAAAGATAATCTCTTTACTTGTAAAGTATCGATGATGTAATTATTGTACAGGTTCTTGTCGCTTCTACTCAGAATGTTGCTGTAATAAGTGGCTCTGTCTCTAACTTCATCATCCGAATCCATTTGACATCTTGCAAGTAAAACTTGAATGTTTTCTAACAAATCTGGACAGGAAGCGCCGAATTGCGCCATTGCGGACACTGCCGCGGCTCTTATAGATGGACATTCCAAAATAACTCGATTGTAGATGAAACGGATGTATCTAAGAAAGGAAAATTGTAGTTAATGGAAATTTAATTTGTGTTTCATTACTTTATTGATTTTATACTAAGTACTAACAACGTATTTAGTTAGTTCAGCAAACTCCAAAATAAAAGGTTTGAATAGAGAAACGCGGAATTCTCTTATCAAATGGAAACATAATTCTTAAGTAGTTAAAACTGAGAAAGAAACTCAGGTATTTAAACTTTATAATTTGTTGGGCATACTTTGATATAGGGCAATGGTGTAGGGTTGTTCCTTAGGGATTTAATTCATTCTATTCAAGTATTACCCTAGAAAAATCTCTTCTATTTTTCCCCCAGTTAAGAGAGATTTCAGAAATAATAATAAAGGTCTTTATTTTATTAATCCTCGGCGAAGTCCAGCAGAGCTATTCAGCTTAACCGAGTACCATTTACAAAAAATAAAATATGTATGTATGTTAGCAGCGGTGTGCCTCTGCTCCCCACCACACATTCTTGAAGTCCATACTCATGCGTGTCAGGATGGACGAGCGGGAGAAGGCAGACCAGCGCAGTGAACAGTACGCGAATAGACAGTGGCAATACCACAGCAACATTGTAATTGAGAATAATTGGTCTTGAAATAAACCATTGAAAAAGCAGTTTAGACATTTTTATTAGAGATGATACATCCCTTATGTTTATATCAGAAGTGGGATCACTACGCGTACCGTGGCTAATAGACTATAATTATTAATTAAACCAGAAGTTAGTGCTAGTAATAATGGCGGACGAAAATCCTGAACCTCGTGACAGTGCGTCAGCCGAACATAATGTCGGTCGATGTTAAAGACAATGTGAACGGACATAGTTTAAAGCGTGCTAAATTTCAGTGGCAGGAAACATTAATAAACTTTGTAGCAGTCCAAGAGTAATAAATTGCTGATTTAACTCAACATTCCAAGATGGCTACGTAGCCGTTCGCTAAGCCAACGCCGTGTTGCAGGAGCATATTAATCTAACACGCAAGCGCCGACATTTGCGCCTGTGCAGTGTTTACAACTTACCAGTTATAACCCTGACGAGAGCACATATTCCATAAAAGAATGGTTTGAGTAACGCTACCAAAATAAAAGGCGAACTCAGCGTTAGCGATAATTTCATGATCATTAAATTGAGCAATGCACCTAAGACCCGGTTATTGTTGTGACTGGGGAGCGTGACAAAACTTTTGTGATGACCTAATTGTTGTATTTGCTGACAAGGAAACACCAGCTGCTCATTAATATAAAGCAGCTACACTTCAAAGCCATGTTTGTAATTCACTGTGTGAATATATAAATCAAAAATGTTGTATCATCATTAGATTTTATGATGCGTTGCCGGTTGCTGTGGAATCCAGTTCTGAGTTCAGACAATTCAAAATTCCGTTTTGCCATTCACATACAAAATCCTAACTCCTAATGTGAACTCATAAAATTACTCAGCCAATTTGATGCGATCAGTGTTGAGACCTCGAGAATTACGAAAAATGCAGAGATCCTTAGAAAACCAAGAAGTCAGTTTAAACGGGAAGCCGCCGCCAGGACACCAACAAATAATATAATGTCGGAGTACATAACAGGCGAGTACATTTAACATGGTTACTACACATACAAATCTGACAGTATTAAAGCACTCATTACAAAAATGGGTCACGTCGAATCCAGTTATTGTTGTTATAAACAAAGCAAGTTTAAAAAAACATTTGTGTTAAAATAAATAATGCCATCCAAATGCGACACCAACAGCCGATATCCATGTTATTATACTTTGAGCCAGCTCAGTCATTAAAATACTTTATTGATAGTGATGCTGACATGTCAATAATTTAACAATCTGTAGTAAAAACATTAAAAGGAACTATTGGGCCAGCTGAATAAGATACTTCTTGGAGTTGTTTACAATATCACTTTTTGTTATTTGTTAGTCATTTGTCGACTGTTACATTAGAGGTCGTTCCAAAAATTGTGGTTGCAGAAGATGTTGTTATTGTTATTGGATGCAATGTCAGATGCCGACCTTGTTTAAGTGCCGAGAAAAATGCCGATGGGATTAAGTTACATTATGACCTGCTCAACATCCAGAAAATGTTTACAATAAAAAATTGAATGATATGAAAATTAATCAATTAGAATTAAAAGACACTTTAAAAATACAAGTGAATAAACTTTTAACATTTTACAATAATAAAAATCCTGTCCACATAACTACCGGAAAAATGTCAATTTAGATTAAAATGCAGTACTTCAGCAGCGTAGCAACGAAGGTGATTATTGTATCAAGACAGAATTCGGCGAAAGAAAATTATACAGTGGAATTATCCGCAGAAGTCACTCAAAATGATGGTGGGTGAGGTTTTCCGGGTTTTCCTCACCTGAAAGTCAAATGGCACCCTCAATCACCTTCAAGTCGCCCCGGAGCGCCACGACAAATAAAATGATAGCTATTTCCCCACAAATATTTTACCACGTTGGACATGAAATCAAGCTTTTATCAAATGAAAATAGAAGAAAGTTCCAAACAGGTGGAGGAAAACTGAGGCCCAAATGAAAAGGACCTTTACACTGTTCGAGAGGTATTACCACATGAAATCAACTTCGTAAAACGTGACAGCCAACAACTGTAGCCGCTTAAGATCAGTGGCCGTGGTCGTCGCAGCAACTATAAAAAAGGTGAGTGGAAATCCCACAATATTAAATTAAAAAAAATTGTTTTTGTTAACTTGAGGTGGCAATCCCACCAAATGTAATTAAAAAAATCATGATATTAAAGTAGCACCAGTGTTTGGTGTTGTAGCACTAGTGTTTAGTGTTAGGGTGGCAATCCCACCAAATTTAATTAAAGAAATCAATATTAAAGTAGCACCAGTGTTTGGTGTTGTAGCACTAGTGTTTAGTGTTAGGGTGGCAATCCCAACAAATTTTCCTGAATAAAATATGATAATAAAGTAACACCAGTGTTTGGTGTTGTAGCACTAGTGTTTAGTGTTAGGGTGGCAATCCCACCAAATTTTCCTGAAAAAAATTATGATAATAAAGTAACACTAGAGTTTAGTGTTTAAAAAGAACATTAGTGATAATGTTCATAAGTCGTAACAGTAGTTCTGTTTTCGTATTTTGTAATTCCAGATATGTGGCGCGAGGACGCACCAATTGCAGGATGGCCGTGTTAGCAGCGGTGTGCCTCTGCTCCCCACCACACATTCTTGAAGTCCATACTCATGCGTGTCAGGATGGACGAGCGGGAGAAGGCAGACCAACGCAGTGAACAGTACGCGAATAGACAGTGGCAATACCACAGCAACATTGTAATTGAGAATACTTGGTCTTGAAATAAATTTAGACATTTTTATTAGGGATGATACATCCCTTATGTTGATATGTATATATAACAATATTAAAAGATTAAAAATTAAATATTGATTATTAATTTGAACATTATAGAAAAATCATGCACACTCTACAACACAATATACAAGATTACAGAAAATGCCAAATAAAAAATAAGATACATTACAATAACAGAACAAAACTTATTAACATATAAGTAAAAGAGACTTGACAGTTTTTTTAAAGTTTTCAACTGATTTGAACTTACGACCTGATTTGAATTTGATGTTTTGGAGAAGTGAATTATAAATTTTGACAGCCCTATATGAAAATGATCTCATATAGAGCTGTTCTGTGTTTGGGTACAACAAGTAGACCTGTGTTTCTAGTGACAAGGTTATGAATTTCTGAGGTAAAAGTTAACTTTTTTAATAAATATGCAGGAATTTCAGTTTTTAGCACTTTGTAAGTCTGACATGCAATGTGAAGCTTACGTCTATTATACATGTTAAGCCATCCTAACTCCTTTAACTTATGTGAAACGTGATCTCTTGATCTTAAGCAAAAAATGAACCTAATGCAGGAGTTCTAGATTCGTTGAAGTCTTTCTGATAAGTCAGCATCTAAGGATGGACCATAAACTATATCAGCATAGTTAGTATGACTTAGCACTAATGACTCACAAAGCTGTTTTCTTAATGACACATTAACGAATGATTGGCTGTGATATAGATTCTTTAATGCAAAGTAGGACTTCTGAATAACATGCTTAAGACATGTTTTAAGTCTTAGTTTGGTGTCAATGTGAACTCCTAGACTTTTTACTGTATTGTAAAGCTCTACTTTTAAATTGTCGATTGATATATTTAGATTATCTCTCAGAGTTTCTGTTATATTACCAAAACAAATGGCTCGTGTCTTAGATGGGTTGACTTTTAATCCATGTCTACGTGAATACTCAGATATGTTTGATAACGTCTGATTTATTTCCATACAGGCTGTACCTGCCTCTATATTTAAAAACTGTCTATAGATTTAATTGTCATCAGCAAATTGATCAATATTACAGTTAACAGAATTGCTACTTAACTCCATTGTATAAATTAGAAAAAGAAGAAGACCAAGGATGGAGCCCTGTGGTACACCTTTATTTACTAATCTCAAGCTTGACTCAACATTTTCAATTCTGTGGTTGTGATCTATACAACATAATTGATTTTATAGGTTTTGAACTCCCCTGTGTTTTAACATTTTTCTTCAATTTTAATTTTATATACTAGGTTATTGCATACCAGTATTTTTGTTTGGTATATAATACTGGACCACCTTTTTACTTACCTTGAAGGTTGCTTTGTCTTTGGACCCTCTCTTCCCAACAAATGCAAAATTCTTACAGCTAAAGAAACATGTTCACAATCTTCAATAAATTCACACAAATGTGCCAAACCTAGAAGGAAATGTGTTTTTTTTTATTCTGCTAAAATATTCTGATTTTAAAATTCTGTCATTTAAATACACTTACCTGACTCTTTAGCTTCTGGATTGTCTTCAATAATAGTTATGATAGTATCAGCAATAGATGCTTTATATTCCAGACCTCCTTCATCTCTTAACATGGCTGACAGGAAATTCATTAGTGTGCTATGTTTGCGAGGAAACTTGAGAGCTAGTGCCTTGATGGCTTGGACAACTACAACTTTGAATTCATCACTGATTTCAGAAACGAAACTTGCAATTTGTTTCATGAGACGGTCTACAGATGATTCAGCACCTAGAAGATAAAACCTTGTTAATATTTGTTAGTAAAATATGTTTGTCAACCTACCAGTTTTTAACAGAGTAGTTATAGCCAAAGTAGCAATTGATCTGTTAGAATCAGTAATCAAGTTTTCTAAATCTAGATTGCAAGCTGTAACAGCTGCAGGGTGAGAAATAGCTACTTGATTTAATGTTCTGACTGCAGCAAATCTTAGTGTTGGTTTTGGAGAACCACAGAATAGTTGCAGAACACTTACAGCTGGAGCTAATTCTCTGCTAGTGGTACGTTTGAGATTGACAATTGCATGGGCTGCTTCGTAGACTACCATTTCAGACTTGTGCCTTAGACAGGATTCTATGAATTCAAAATAGGGAGTGTCATTTCCAGAATCTTCTTCTTCAAGAAGTTTGGCTGTTATTCTGATCTATAAAAAATTTGTTGGAAAAAAGTTTAAACCATTCAAAAAATATACCAGTTAACACCCCCTTTTCAGCAACTAGTTCATAAAATACATCTAAAATTTGAAAAATTGTTTTAGAGTAAATGAAACAGCATAGAAATAAAATAGATGCTAAATTGTTAAGATATGCAGGTGAAGGGATACCTAATTCAATAAAATTAATTTGAAAATATATTTTCCTATGAAGGAAACAGAAATTTGAATAAAATTATGAAAGATATCTTAGAAAAGTAGAACAAATTGCTTAGAGAGGTGATGAAATTCAAACAAAAACATAAGCAAGTTGATTTTTACTAACTTACCAACATACAAGCAGCATATGGAGATTTCAAAGACATTCTAGTCAATCTGGCTATTAATTTTGTTACAGCCAACCGATCTGTCTTTCTAATATGATAAAGTAGTCCTAATGCATGATATTGTACCATCACACTGAAAAATTAAATTATATATCGGTAATCTGGATACAAGATTTCTCAAAAAAAAATTGTATTTAAAACCTGTGGTGGATTTGAAGAAAAACAAGTTTTAGAGATTTGAAGTGGTTGTAGAGCAGCATTACTAGCAGTACTATCGTCATAAAAGGTAGGGATGGTTTGAGGATCTTTTTTTTTTAGAAGGTACTAAGGGGAAGGATATGATTTTGCTTGAAGACTTTTTTTTTATAAATGTGTTTAGGGCTCCATCAAATATTTCGCTTTTCAAAAAGGTTTCGTCACCAAAAAAGTTTGAGAGTTATTCATTAAAAATCTTAAAGAGGCGAAACATGTGTTCAAGAAATACAAATCATACTTGTCACTGTTAATTGCTTCTTGTGCCTCATTAACCCATCTTTTAACTACTTCTGGGGCCATTCTAGTCATGTGCAAGGAACTGACAAGAGCAGCAGAACTAACAGCCGAGTTCCTATCTACTATAGCTTGCTTCATATATCGTTCTATTGCTTGTAACATTGTAGCATCAGTGATACTGCAAAGAGCCCTAATTGCGGCTGCTCGGTAGATATCTTCTTTTCCAGTCATATCCTTGGTAAGACTAGAAGTGACTATAATCACATCATCGGCAGTAGAACTCAATTCTTTTATTCCCAAATAGACCATTCTTCGTAAAATTACGTCTTTCGATTGGAATAATTTGGTCATTGCAAAGAAAACATCTGTAGCTTCTTTGACACTGAGGCTTTCACCCTGAAATCATTTATTATTAATGGGGAAACTAGGGAGAAACTATGACTTACCTGGTTCAAAAGATAAAGTAGTTTTGTAAGAATAGGGGTACATTTTCTTGGATTTACACTTGTTTCATTAAAAACCCGAGCTTCTTGCAAAACGGTTGTTTTCTCAATGTTTTGGAAAAGATTAATACCTCCTATAAAAGTTATACGGTAATATGTTTAACACCGTATTCATGAATTCACTTACCATCTTCTTCTTCCTTTTTGTCTCTTTTAAAAGAGCTCATTTTAATGGGATATATTTTGAAAAATTAGAGAAATTAATTTTTTACACGTCACAATGCCCGGTTGTCAAAATATAGGTTCTTTCGTTCGCTGTTGGTGCAATGTCCACCAGTGTAAATTACACCAGTTACACCACCTTATTTTCTTTAATTTACTTCCTCCTTATTCCTTATACACACTGTCGAGTGTAAATCACTCCTGCTAAATAGCTGGTGGAGAAAATTCCCACCAGTGTACACCACATCGCCGACAGGAAGGTATAGTGGGTTTTACACCGGGCCAAACGAAAGGTATGGGTGTGAGTTGGTGTAGTTCATTACTACACCAGTGGGACGAACGAAAGAACCTATTGTGTGGCATGTACTGGCATGTAGGACAGCCAACATAAAGCTTGAAAAATTAAAAATACCTACGTCGAAATGTTCTTAGGCAATTTTAAGAAATTTCTTATTTGTCAAAAATACTATTTCCATCTCCAAACAAAAACTTCTTAAATTTAGGATGATGATCATTGAATATAATGACCATATAAATGTGGTCTTAACATTTTCAATGGTTATGGATTTTAGACAGATTCTCTACAATTTTTTTAAATGTTGTCTAGAAAAATTGCCTTAAAATAAATGTTTTATGACTACCAACTTAAATATAAATTCAAAAAATATGTCACTTCATTAAATTATTGTATCTGTCACTTTTGCAAGACAAGCACAACATTTCATTATGTCATTGGACGGTCAAACAGAAATGTCTCGCCTTTATAAATTAGCTCAAACATTTAACTGCTTCTATTTGTCAGGTAAGTCTAACATTGTTGCTCCATTTTGTGATAAATTTTAGCCAATATTTAATTTAAAATTGCCCCATAAAGTTCATTTTAAACCTGCAATGGCTACTTATTGATCTTATAAGATACACCCATGCACAACCTTTTTTTAATTATGAATTGTTAAAATTTCAGGGTTGAAATCTCCTGATTGTAAGCCTTTCTTCGTGGAGGGCTATCAAGTTGGATTAGTAAGGCCGGATGTTATGAAGCAGCTACTGAAATACCCAGAGGTGGTAAAATAAATATTGTTGAAAAGGTTTTTTTAAAAGTGTGTTTTTAGGTATTTTTGGTAGGTTCTTATGGTGTTGAGCTGAATCCAGCATTTAGAGATTATGAAGAGAGAAGCGATCAAATAGACAAAGTCTTAAGAGAATTAAGGGCTGAAAATGTCTTCATAGCTTTGAAGGGTTGGAGAGATGAGGTAAGTTTATAGTCTTTTATTATTAGGTATGTGACTACAAGCAACAATTATTGTAATATGTGTCTTAGTTAATCATTCTTTTACAGTTTAATTTAAATTTCATGAGATATTCAAATACTTAGCAATTGTTTTACAACTTACACCTAAAATGTATTCATATAATTGAATTCAAAAAATACAATGCATATGTTAGATTTTTGTCAGAAAAGGTAAAGGTAGGTACCTCATAAATAGAACCTATGAATTAAAGTAAAGAAATTTATAAAAATATCAGTAAAAAAAAATTTGGATTAAATAAAACAAAACAACTTTCATTTAAAATAAAAGTATGGTAAAATTATTAATTTGAGAGGACCCTTCCCAGAAATGACCCAAGCTGTTATCAGATTAAGAATTAATTAGCATAAATGTTTTGGATAGTATACTGACCACAATTTTTTGAATTTTATCAGTTTAAACATAAACCCGAGCATAAACCCATTTATCTCATATTGTTAATCTTATGTTTTTATTATCATTTGTAACTATTAAATAATTTAAATCGCTGTTTTATATTTTATTCAAATGAAAATAGTTTTAACCATAAATGTTTTGACATAAGCATGGTTAGTACAACCCTGAACTACAACATTTAATAAAATAAAAATGACCATAAGAGTCATCATTTTAAGGAAAACTAAACTGTAGCCTATAAGAACTGTATTGTTGAAAGTATTGCTAACAGCATTGATTAAAGAATAAGCTAATAATATTAAACTGTTCTAAGAAAAAAAATCTCAAAATAAATAACTATAAAGCTCATTCTATCAGAGTGAATATTTTAAAACCTCCAAAGTTTTATACTAAAAAATTTCATGCACATTTAAATTTTTAATTTAGTTCCTTACCAGGATTTACTAAAGAGATAAAAATTAAATTATTAGCAAAACTTTTGAACATACCATTCATATAAATTTGTTTATTTAGGTATCTGAAAGAAAGGCGAGGGTAAAATAAAAATCTATTATTTTAAGCTAATTTTGTGCTTATAAATTATTACTATATAATATGATTTTTGAAAAGAAACACTTTAACCCAAATATTTCATTATATAAAAAATTAAAATGTCTCATATTATCAGCAGACAATAACGTTTCACACATTTATACCGTTTACTCCAATAGTTTAAACAGGTAAATATTTTTCATTAGGTACCTATATTTAGTTCAGAAAGAAATAATTGATAGATAAAAATCTGGAGTTGATTATCAGATTATCAAGTTCACAGCTTACTTTCTCTGGTTTATCTGTAAATTATATTAATTAGTTGAAAACAGTTCAAAAGAACTAGTCAAAATTCAACTAATTTTTAATTTATTCCAAGATGTGTCCTTGAAATACCTAATTATTTATTTTATAGAATTTTATTGTAAAAAACAGGTGACATTCCACAAACCTTTTTTTTTGATAAGGAAATAAGTACTTATAGGATTGTATTTTGATTCATGCTCCTTTATACAGTGTGTAACAGCCAAATGGAATAAATTCAGTAGCTCAATTACTGTGCATATTTATAAAAAACAGTGGCGTCTGGCATACAACTATTTTAATGGTTGAAAACAACTCTTAAAATTGATAAAAATATTTATCATATGAAAGAAATCAAATTCCAATTCAATTTTACATTTAAAAAATCATAAATACACTAACATAGGCTATAGTTAAACATTTCTTCAGGTCTGTTGAATAGGGTAAAATTACTCCATAAAATTCATAAGATAATTATCTTGTGAGGTGTTTAATATTTAAAAACTCAATAGTAGACTTACTAACATAAAGTTTAAGCAAAAATCCCTTCGGCCTTGTCATACAGAGATAAACCATTAAAATTTTAAAAAATAATTACTCTGTGAATGTGATACATTTTGCACTTACTTTTACATTAATAAATAATAAATGAACTAAACAATAAAGGATGAAAGCAAAAATCGCTTCGGCCTCGTCAAACAAGGTAAAATTAACTTTTAAAATTAGAATAAATACTTAATGGATGGATGGATATCAAATTTCAACTTAATTTTATAGTCATAAAATAAAAAATATACTAATATAAACAGTAAAAAAATCCCTTCGGGTCCGTCAAACAGGGTGACACTTATAATTAAAAATAAATATTTACCCCATGAAGTGAAAATCCCTTCAGACCAACTTTCTTTCACAATCAATCAAATAAATAAATTTAATATAACATACTGCAAGCGAAAATCCCGTTGGACCCGTCGAAGAGGGCGAAATTAACCCTTAAATACTCCAAAAAATAATTATCCTATGAAACTGATCAAATTCATACATGGGTGATTGCCCCAAAAGTGAGTAATTTAGAAGGTAAATGTGTCTGAAAGATAAAAGTCAAAAATAATTGTAATAACTGTGCTTAAGATATGTATTAGATGCATACGTAAAAATCTTTGCATGATAATGTGATGAAATATGTTATTTTATTGAAATATTTGCATTTTAAAAAAATTGCCAAACACGGAACTGACAATCGAAGCACGGTACTGACAATCAAAGCACGTTACTGACAATCAAAGCACGGTACTGACAATTGAAGTATGAGTCTGACAAAACATTGCACTGACGTGATGCGTTTTAAAAAATATAAAAAACAAACAAACTTTTTATAGTTTAAGAAACATTTATTTCATAAAAAATAAAAAAAGGAAATGTAAAAAGTCTTTCAGTAAAAAAATAAATGCTTGAACAGTCAAATAGTGTTTAAACATACTTTTTTGGTTCTTTAAGGAACTTTTATACTAGAAAATAAGTACTTTATAAAACATTATTAGTACATGTAACTCTTAATTCTGGAATTAAGCATACAAAAATAAAAAAGTAATAATACACTTAAAGAACAATGAAAAAGAAAACAAAAAATAATTTAGTTGCCCATAATTGAGCAATGAGTAACACCACAAATAAAAATCTAATTCTGTTGTACTTGTACAGTTGTACTAAAAATATTAGAAACTTTTTTTTTCTCAACTGGCCCAAGAACTTGCTTCATGATCCACCCTGTAGTTTTACATTGTTATGATATTCATTAATTTTTCCATATTTAAAGTTGTTTTAAAATTATATTTCTTAATAATTTCCCCGTTGACAATGTTCTTGAAAACCCACTTTTCATTGGTCGTTTTTAAATGTTTATAAGCCTCACGAAGCTGATCTTTAATAACCTCCAAAGAAAAGTTTTTTCTTGACCTCATTAACCTTTTCATTATTTTCGGATTTAGATTCTTCCAAAATAATATTTGTGCGAGTAAAAGTAGTAAGGCCGGGGCTTTTATCTGTTTTTAAATTGCTTTTAGTCTTGCGATTTATTTTGAATTGTAATCTCTGATATCGCTTCTTATATTTTTCAAGTTTTTTTCTGTAATATTCTACGTGTTTCAATGTTTTCTTTTTTGTCCGATATCGTCTGACGCTATTTCTATTACTAATCCTTCTTCCTCTTTCTCTAAAACTTTCTTGGGTTACGATGTTGCGTATTATTTCTGGTTCATTTTCGTTTTCAGAAGGAGGGGGAGTATTTTCCTGCTTTCCTTTAAGTCTATGAATTCTTGTGTAATTATTCCATTGTTTCCGTACTTTTCTTTGTTCTCTGGGAGTCATGTTCTTAATACTTTTCCTTATATTTTGTTCTTTCTATCTCTTGTACTTTTGCCTTTCTTTTTCTCTTTGCTCTTCTCGCTTTACAGGGTCTTCTCTAATCTTTCTTCTACGCTCACGTTGTCTTTCTCTCTTTCGCCGATTACGTTCCTCAGTTGTCAGTTTAGGATATTTATCCATTATTTATTTTCCTTGAATATAAAAAAAAATATTGTTAGTAACATCTATTAAACCAAACGACCGTTAAACATATAGAAAAAGTCAGTTCCGGGTTAGATATGTCAGTTCCGTGTCTTTAATAAAACACGGAACTGACATTTTTAAGAAAAATTGGTTAAAACACGCTATTTAATTAAATATAAATTAAAATAAAATATAGTGCAACTACAAAAAATGATGTTGGATTAACTTACCATGAAAATGGACATCAACGATAAAATTTTTGCCTAAAATAGGTGAACCCGGGACTGACCAGTCAACACATTACACCCATGTTTGGCCCAATAAATTGTTAACCACGTGCGTTACAACAAATATGCGTGCAAACTTGCTTGCATCCTAGACAAAACTAAATGGTTAAAAATGCAATGGAGATGAAATGTCGGGTATTTCCCCCTCCTAAATCATCGTTCTGGCGGTTTTAAGTATAGGACACGGAACTGACCTCATAAGCACAGGACAAAGTTTACGTGGCAATAAAATAGGAAAAATTAAATTTTAATTTGTTACCCAGTGAGTAATCTAACTAGTAATAAAGTAGTAAATAGAAAAACATTATTTTTCTTTTAAATAGTTTCAAGAGATATATACCTAAAAGTATGTATGCAAACGTCGGGTTAGGGACAGACACGGGACTGACATATTAAGTGAATTTTAATTTAAATTAGTAGTTAAAATTAAAAAAAAATATTTTTTTTTTTCAGTAGACTTTTAGATGACATTTATCTGGATAAATTGAAATATTTTAATTTTTTTTAATGATTTCAGTTTTCCGACTAATTAACAGGACACGCGATTAGTCGCTTTTGTGGCAATCACCCACTTACTCTTGCATTCAAAAAATCATAAATACATTCACTAAAGTACATTATAAGTTGAAATCCCTTCAGACCAGTCAAACAGGGTGAGATTACCCCCTTTAACTTCAAAATAAATAATTACCCAGTGAAGACAATTAGATGGTTTTACATGTAAAAAATCATAAATACCCTCACCAAATTACCACGTAAACTAAAATCTCTTAGGACCCGTTAAACGGGGTAAAAATTAATCCTTAAACTTCAAAATAAATAATAACCTAATGAAGACGATGAGATTCCAACTTGGTTGTACAATTCAAAAATTATAAA